GCGACTTAGTTGAACGCACCCTGACTGAAGTCCTTTACCATAGTAGTTATCATAATTACCAGCATCAGACCGTGGACTTGGCACATTCTCAGACGTTTCGCCGACATCGTAGTCGGTAGCATCAGTGAGTCTTGCCACACTCAGCACCAAGCTACGACTAATCAAAGAGACTGTGACGATACCGAGGGCTACACCATCTTGGTCTTCATATCTTTGAAGGATAAATTACCCTATGCCTGCTATGATCGTGTCCTTTGATCGGTATCTCCAATCGGCCTTGCCTCCTTTAATTACTATTTATCAGAGTTATAAGCCACGATGCAAATCAAGTTAATGAGAAGATTCTACCATCTGAATTGGTATTTGGGGATGATTAAAGGGGGGTATGACAAGAAGTGTCACAACCGTTCAATAGCAAACTGTTCAAGGAGATCAACTTTATTGCTTAGTCTACCTCATTTTTATATCTTCCAACAACTTTTGAGTGTTTGGACGATTGCGCCAGATTCACATTTACCTGTCTCGCTTGCTTGCAGGTTTACGGAAGGAAAATTGTTTATCGAAGATGTAAATACAAAGATGGTGTGGCCCCCGGTACTAAGAGTTGTTAAATGGGCCAGGACAGAAAGAGGAGTGATAGTGTAACCATCTTCGGCAGAATGTTGGTAGAGGGATTGACTTCACTTGTCTCTTTGACTAGTTCTTAGGTTGGTGTGGAGAATGTACCAAGTCCGTGGTCTGATGCTGTGAATTATGATAACTACTATGGCTGAGAACATCGGACAAAGTGCGTTCTACTAAGTCGCCCTGACAACAAGACCAAGTTGCGACAAATAGGGCAACCCACTTCCGAAGAGTGTTTATCTTATCCATAGATGAACAGAAGCCCTACTCTCATACGAGAATAGCTTATACAATTTTGGGGAGTCTTAATAAACCCTCAATCCCAAATAGGTAAATTTTATTGGCTTGATGGATTTAAATATTTTCTTGTAAATTAAGTAGTAACAAAGCCATAACACAACACGACCAAGTTTCGAAAATCACTTCCATACAGCGAAAGAAGACTGCAACCAAAAGAGAGGCCATTTCTACTTATAAAAGTCTGTTTTGAAAATTAAAATATGCTTTCTGCAAACATGATCTAGATCTTGTAATGCAGAATCTTTAATGAACTTCAATGAATGTGTGATGGAGAGATATACTGGTCAATCATAGTACGTTTTCCCCCAAATCGAAGAATATTGCCTCGAGGACAACGTTTATGAGAATGTTCCAGTAAAGCCAAACGACAGCCAACCAGGGCTGATTCAGTCTTTCAGGTATCTTCGTGAATTCATTGTCGTCTTCTGGTGAGATCGAATAATAAATATGTTTATCCAGAACTTCGATACTAAAAACCAACAATAACTTCATAGCAGGATTTTCTCCAAACCTCAGCTTAGCTTCTTTGATCCGGACCTTGTGGCTCGCCCATGGAGAGTGGCAGATTCTAACTCTCCAGCAAATTGCTCTTTTCACCGCACACCACTCAACAACTTGCCTTTAAATCTAGTATGGTCGAGGATTAGATGCATCTGGGATCAAAAGGAAATTGCGAAGCACATTCCCACAGGAGACGGCAATGAAATTGTGAAACTTATTTTCCTCCCTCCTCTAAGTTTATTTCTTTTCCTTCCATTCGTCTTTTCGCCCAAGCTCTCCAATTAGCCAATAGCCTTCAGTCTGCTTCAGAAACGAGATTATCTGGTGGAAGAATTTTCCCACAATGATATGAGTAGAGCTGACGTTTCCATTGAATTTCACATTGCTTTGCTGTCCCAAAAGTTGTTCTCATCCAGGCACTAGTGGACTGCAGTTTCGACCTTGCATCAGTCTTATCAAAACTCCCAGCGGGAGTTAACTCGTAACAGTGTAGAACGTTAACCACTCAACCACATGGCCACGAGTGCCCTTGAGTCACAGGGCAGATGTATATTTCAAGGAAGTCCAGGACTTTTGCCATATCACTTTTTTTGGTAGGATTGTCGATGAAGCAAACGTATATTCGCTATAACAATCGACTACGTTACTTATGTTTTATATGTAAGTAGAGTTTCGAGACTACCAGCCCACCCTGGATGAGAACAACTTTTGGGAAAGCAATGCAATGTGAAATTCAATGAAGACGTCAGCTCTAATCATATCATTGTGGGGAAATTCTACTACCAGTCCTTCATCACCTAAAACGAAATATGGTGAATACATCCCATATTACTGATTTACTGGTAGTCTCGAAACGCGACTTACATACGAAACATGAGTTTACCTGATATGTAGAAAAACTGGGTTTCTAATAATCGATTAATGTTGGAGTACCTTTCCTTTCCTTCGAAGAGACGAGTGAAAGGGGTTCGTAAGTTGAACCTATTCGCACAGAACTGCAACCCCTCCACAGCCTCCGGGAAAACCAACTTACGAATCCCTTCTATTCGCCTATTCAAACGAAATGAAAAGTACTCCAACAGGAGATTCCCTGGCTATTATGATACTATAAAAAGTTTATCTATACACTTCAGCATGAAAAAACCTATAATATTCTGTGCATAGAGGCCTTCCGAATTCAATGCATGAGCCGACAATGTGACAAAACTAAATGTGAAGAGACTTTGGGTTTCGAATATTCTCTTGGTTGTTGAATTCACTTGCATTTCGAGTGAAATTGTTTGGTGATAAGATTTAAAGATTCATTTCACCAGAAGATTATAGTGGATTTGTCTAGGACAGCTGTCGATTTGTTTTACCGGAACATTCTTGTTAACGCCGAACACATGGCAGAAACCGGACAAGAGAAAGAATTGTATCAGGCGTGTCGTTTTGGTGACTATGCTGTCTTGTTGGGGAGACTTTCACTTCGTATGAATGAGCATGAAGAAGAGATTCGAAGGTTGAGCTAACCACAAGACGATGGCTGATCTCCGTAGCCGTTTGGCTCTAACACGACTTTTAGGCTGACGCTGTCAACGAGACATTCTCCCTAGTTTCGCATGAAAACATGTCGGGCTTTCGTCCATCATGTGATGAACATCATAAGAACCTGGACTCATTCTTTTAAAAGTCTCACATGACATTTGATCACAAAGACTGCCTGAAGCCAAGTGTAAATGTATGGCTTCCATCAAAGTAAACTAGCTAAGCAATACATTAAATGTCAGAAAGACTAGTAAATAGTTAAGAGATAGTTAGGCTCAATTGATAGACTTAAGTAAGAGAGCATATAGAGACTCCATAATAAAGGAGACGATTCACTTAGTCTTTTGTTGGCGATGGTTATAATAAGAGTCAGTTTGTCTGTATATCATAGTTCCCTTTTTCTTTGTCACACAGGCAAAAAGCTTATCACCTTAACTTGATGCGTATCCAATATTACGTAATCGGAGTGATGGTTACAAATATATAATAGGGGACGGTGGTAGTCATAAAAACCCTGCTCACCGAAGGCCGATTTTACGTTCTCTTCTAATTACATTGAGCTATCGCTGCTGAGTTGGTGAATATACCAACACATGCAGTCACATAAGCCCACATAGACACGCAAATACTTCCCGATTAACATACAACTTGAACTGACCAAAGCATTTTATATCTCATTAAAAAGCATATATTTAGGATTTATTTACAGCATTTGGGGAATAGGGGGTGGATTTTCTTGACGCGTTGGCTTGAATATAATTGCAAGAATGACGTACAATAGTTTAGCACTTTTTCACCAGAATTGAAGGAGATTGCCTCAGTGACAATGTTAACAAGAATGTTCTGGTAAAACCAATCAGCAGTTGGACAAGAGGAATCAGCCATCGTCTTCTGGTGGGGTCGACCTTCGGATCTCGTAACCATTCATTCGCTTTAAATGGAAATGGGCTCATCAACAAAGATAAATGTCAGGGGCTACGAGATTCGCTGGAATATGGTATATTGCTGTCTTGAACGAGGTAAATTTCGAAAAACTGTACAAACTATAACCACTATGCAATACACCTATTCTGGATCCCTCTTTTTTTCAGACAACTCTTTGTCGTCAAGGCCGACTAAAGTAGAACCCATTTTCTGTCAATTCGAGTCTGAGGTTATGGCTACTGGATACGCTAAACGGGGAACCAGCTTTACTGGCAAGAAATCAAACATGAATTTGGCAAGAGATAGCTTCTAGCAAGCGAGATAAGGCAGTCATGTTATTTTGTAAATAGCGAATCATCTCCTACGAACAGTCCTCTTATCTCTTCTCGAACAATATTAGCGAACAGAGGCGAAAAGACCGAATCGACAACACTCCTTGAGTCGCCTTGGTGACCTGGGGCCACGATGCCGATGCCGACACGTCCAACATGAAGCCCATCAATTGTGCATAGAACTTGAATTGAATCCGTTTTGGTTGCGTTCCAGCAGCCCTCTTGACATGGCCGATGACTAGTTCAGTCTCTGTTTGTTCTCGGGCCTCTCGCCAGACGATTTGGAGCATCGGCTGAAACGAATGTCGGCTTGAGTAAACAACAGGAACTGAGAATTCCATATCCTTTTTGCCGATGGTTTTATCAAAAGTCTGAGCCCGCATTCCCACAGTCGACCGAGCCGTAGGTCGCTCGAATAGGCTCACATGACTCCACTCTCGATAACCGCTGGATACACTCGGCACAGGTAACTCAGTGAGCGTGTAAACATGTTCACTGGAGCTAATCCGAACAGAAAGGCAGTCGCACGTGTGCACAGGTGCCTGGTTGTTAGGACTCCATTTATTCGAACATCCGAGAAAGGATTTTCTCATTTATTTAATTTTGAATCCAGGCTGTGTGAAACCTACAACAAGGTCAATCTTCCTGCCGAAATCGCCGGCATTGTCGAAAGGAAACAAAGCTTAGCGATTTTAGATGAGTCAGGAAGAAAGCTGACCACCATACAATAACTGATTTTAGGACAGGGAATGGTTGCATTATTAAGCCTATGGCAATTACACTTTAAATGCTTGTAATTACTTATAGAGTGCTTACACCTAAAATCCTTATCTCTCAAAGACGGTGCGAAAGATCCCGGAACATTCTATCCACAAAATTGGATAATTTGTTATTTTAACACAATTACACAAGTCATTATGGATTAAACGATGCGAAGAGGAGAACCAAAAGTGCGCTGACACGTCTCAGTGATTTACGAAACCGAGAAATTCGTCCAAACTCAGGCCACCTAGTCAGTTGCACATAAGAGTTGATCTAATCACACCTACTTTCTGTGCAGCTAGTGACTCCACTATACAAGACGTCAGCCTGACTCACAAATTTGCACCATTCACCAAATCCGTCTTGTGGATGAGTAGCTACTTGGGGTCATATTCGTCATAGGCTCAGCCTGACCAATGCATCTGTTACCGCAACTGAATTTGAAATGGTAGAGTAAATTAAATAATAACTTGAATATTACTGAAAGACTCAAACAATACACAATTTAAAAATAAATGAGATAAGATGAAGGCAGACAGCTCACACTTAGAAGAGACACAGAGCTAAATTTCTCCCACTCTGAATGGTCCACAAGGCCGAGTCTTCCTTGAATTGCATGCGAACAAATATCATATTCTTGCCAACCGATGCTACCTATCGACTAACTGGCTGGCGAAGCTGATGCTAGCTGGGGCCGTCATAGACTTCATCCTCATCGGTAGTAGTATCGTCAGAGCCAATTTTACGTATCAAATCTTACTGTATACACCTTTGCCGACCACTTTACATACAGTTCCAGCAACATATGCATTGATCAAAGTGAGCGAGCAGAGCAAAAGTGTAGTAGGAAAGTGGCGTTTGAAACTGAGACCCGATGAGGGATCAGGCTGATGTCTTTCATACTTTAAGTGGGATTAGGCCAACTTTTGCCCAAAAATGGTTACGACTCGTTTTCACAACTTGATCGTGTTGTCAGACTGACCGAGCTGGACGCGCTTTGTCCGAAGGTCTCTGCTACAGTAGTTATAATTCCCAGTTTCGAACCACGGGCTAAATACATTGCCAGATCTTTCCTATTCTCTAAAATTCACTTCTGCACTGTGACTGAAGGCCGCGTGTGTCAGTCTGGCTCTGCCCTGCCCTATCCTAAGTCATGTTCTAGCCACGTTGGAGGCTCCAGTCTG